ACGGAAAATTAATTAACAAACGGAGACGTAACAATATTAAAGGGGTTATGTGTTACGATAAGCATATATTTTGTCTTTGCCTTACAAATTGCACAATAACTTGATTTGTCCAAACAGATTTATAATTTTCAAACAAAGGCTTTTATAATATCTTAAATAATATCTTGATAAAAATGCGCTGACTGTACTATTTTAAAACAAACAAACAAGACTGGTAAGTTTCCTACACAACAATGATCTAGAATTTTTTTTAACCAAGATATAAAAGGAGAGAAAAAAAAAGAACGTTTTTCAAAGTTGTTGTTGTTGTTTGTAATTAAGCACAAAGCTACACAATGGGCTATCTGTGCTCTGCCCACCACGAGGATCGAAACCCGGATTCTAGGGTTGTAAGTCCGCAGACATTCCGCTGTGCCACTGTGGGGGCGTTTTTCAAAGTAGACATGATTGGTGTACGGATGTCATGGGAAATATATTTAGTGCATAAAAGTGCATTAAGTTCAATATATCATTTGCATCCGACTGTAATTAATAATATTAGAATAACAAATACGTTCAGTAGTTCTAAATCATCCCAACAGCCTAGTTGTTAGCGTGTTGGAACGTGGATCTGACTTTCTATGGTTCGCGAGCCATTACCGCCAAAAATATCTCTCGTTTCACACTTTGGATCCGTAGGTGGGTTATAAGACTGGTGGCCAAATCCAACTGTCTGACAATAATAGCCTAACAATTTACAATGACCTCACCCAGTGACTCAGCAATAATTAAGTCTGAGAGCTTATAACGCTAAAAACCGCACTGATAGCCCATTGTGTAATTTTGTTTAACACAAAACAAATAAACTTACAGTGAGTGGTGTTGACCGTTGGGTGCTTTAAAAGGGGTAGCCTAAGGGTTCGTCTTATGTGGTGCTTATTATCTTCATTTCCTCTTGTCTGTCACTTCAAAGCTAGGGACGGCTTGTGCAAATAGCCCTTGTATAACTTTGCGCAAAATTCAACAAATCATCCTGACTCTGGCCTTAGTATGAGCAATTGAAAACATAGACCTAAGTGATCTCGTGAAAACTGAAAAAAAAAATTACTATTAACCCTGGCTTTTATCTGGATCTATTTTTATCATTCCATTTTATATCTTTATTATATTTCATCTGAAAATAACTTAATAGTCATTGCAAACTAAACCTTCTATGGAAAAAAAAAAGAGGTTGAAAGGCAGCGAATATTTTTTGTAAATAGTTATTTCTTACATTTTTTTGTAGTTAAATAGTTCGATTCTTTTGGATAAAGTAGTTTTTGTTATTTTTAGCGCAAACTTTTACAATGGGTTGCTATCTGTGCTTTGCATGTTTACTGTGGCAAACTGAACATCGGATTTTAGCGTTATAAGTTCATAAACTTATCGCTGAACCACAGCAGGACGGGTAGGGTAGTAGAAGAGCGTTATATTTTTTTTTTCAGAAAAATAAAACTTAACGTTTGTGATTAGTCTTTATTCATACCTTCAATAATAATATATAAATACGTTTTAGATTGAACTTTTGTAAGATTCATTCTCTAACCAAACTATGTGATATTCAAATAAACGTTTCGGACATATTTAGAGCATTAAGCTATTTTGAATGTTTTACATACGGAAATAACAAACAAACAAATGAGATATACATATATATTTACCAGAATTTGATTTGGGCATAAACTTAAAAAAAGAGGACGAGTGAAAAATGATGTTGATTAGTACAAATATGAAATATGAAGACAATATTATTTGGGTGTGCCCTGGCGAAAGAGAATTCAGAACCTAGAGTACCTCGCGTAGTATTTTCGCAATATGTGATTGGTCAAGGTCATAGCATCTGAAAGACCCGGATGTAGAGTCAGCTAGATGTCAGGCTTCTAATGGCGGCTCTCTTTCAGTGGTTGCTGAATTAATAAAAATCAGACTTTGGCATTTTTGTTATTTTATTGTCAGTAATGCGCCATGGTCTGCAAAGAAGAAGTCTGTTCTTGGTTTATAGAACTAAATGGCTCAAAACGAATAGATTTGATATGCGGGTTACTTAACATGTGCTTACCGCTGGAGTTGAGATTTTTTGGAACATGTCTGGAAGAACTGGGAAAGAAGGACTTTTACCATTTCAGGGATGTGGAGCAAAAAGCTAACAACGAGAAAGATTTAAAAGATCTGAGCGTTCATAATATAAGAGACAATGTAACGAGAAGCAAGTTAATTGTTTATTTAGCACTGCTGAATTCATCTAATCCTGCTTGTGCTAACACTTTCTACCAGATACTGACAAGTTTCAATCGAGAAACGGATAAACATGAGTTGTCAAATGGAGAGGTTGCTAGTGAGATTATTCTATTACTTACAATGGCTGTTCATCATCCTGCCTTTACATTTGAGCAGAAATCTGCTCTTGCTGAACAACTTGTCTGGGTAGAAAAAATGGTTGGAAGTGAAATAAATGAGGTAACTAACTTCCTACACATTCCTTGCTTGGAACGTAATTTGCTAGTTTAATGTGTTTGGTGTTGCTAATCTTGTTGGGTTGTTTGGTGTAAATAGGCATAGTGTAATAGTACACTATTTAGTTTAATCAGATTCTTTGTGATATTAACTGGTGGTGTGTCTTAAATATTTAACTTTAAGTTTATCAAAATTCTATTACAAAAATATAATTGAACCATTTGTCTGTTATTTTTTCAATGCGAACTGCCCAGAGAGACAAGAAAATATTTTAGTTTTAAATTCAACTATAAGCTTAAACTTTGTTATATATTTAGAATGCTCTAAGTTTTAAGCTGTTTGATTATTTTACTTTCTACCTCTATGTTTGATATAAATAACTTGCATAATTTTTGCTTTTTTGATTTAAACATGGTATATAATTTTGTACTTGGATGAAGGTCCTAAATAAACATACTCTTAAGAGAGAACAGTAACGTTATTCAAATCAGAATAATACCTAATTAACAAAACTTTTTTTTTCTAAAAAGCAGTTAACAATGCACTTCTTGATTTCTATAATTTTTAGTAATTACCATGATAATTTAGCTTACTCTCAGACTTTTCATAAATGTATACCAGGTATTTTCTTCCATAGTACAGGGGAGAAACTTTGGCCCCATAGATGTTTTGCATATTGGAGGTTTTTAGATGATGATAACCTTTGATATTATAAAGATCTAGGAATCCTTAAAGGAAACTGTTATTTTTACCTGTCATAACAACTTAGAGCATCCAAATTAATAGTGTGTGCAAAGCATTGCACATGGATTGACAGTTCTGCGAGTTATATCACATTGCAAACATTTTGTTCAAGTCCAAAAAAGATACAGCTTCTTTCAGTACATCTACCATATGCATCTTGTATATAAACTGAATTTGTCATTTCTCAGTTGTTGTTTATAAAATGCCCAATGAAACTTTCAGTAGAAGTTGAGGTCCATCCATCACTGGTAAGGGCAAAAACTTTACATTTCAGTTCAGTGTCAAGCTTGTCTTTTTTTCTCTTTGTACAGGTCTGAAATTACCACAGGAATAAAATTGGTCTTGAAAAGGATCTTGTATCTTGGTTTCAAAAGCAGAGTCCTAGAACTAAAATTATCTACCATTGAAAATGGTCTCCCATCCTTAGCCATAAAGATTTCAGTAGCTTTTATTTTATTATGTTTTTAATTTTTTGCTTTCTGATTGTTTGATTTTAATTTAATTTTTTTGTGGAGGAGGTTTCGGCCATGATGTGTCGCTAGTTGGAAACTACCTTGCAGTCTTCTACATCTCTGAAACCTCACCCGGATCTCCTGTTTCTGGAGGAATGTGGTTCTGGTGAAGAGGATTTAGACAGCCTTTTTCCACATCCAGATTTTGCTGCACCATCCTGTGCTACCCTTCTGGATTTCTCTTGTCCTCCTTCAGGTTTTTGGGTCATGATTTTCCAGCTATGTTACCTGTTATCCCTTTTTCCATCCACCTCTTTTTAAGGTTATTCACTTGTTTCCCTGAGGGTATTTTAGCAGATACACATACCCTTCTCTTTTTGGCATTGGCATGCTTATCTTCCTCTGCCATATCCCTTCATACATGGTTCCCTTTGTTGTTGGGATATTTTCTTGATATGGATGCTCTCTTGTCTCGTGTGTTTACCTACTTCCTGTTTGTGAGACAGTATTTTTGGGGATCTTCATGATACTTTGAAGGTCACATATCAACATTCCTCATTTGTTTCTTGTCTTTTCCAAACATCTTCTAGACCTTTTCTTATGTCTTGCCCCCATGTGTCCTCTCTACATCAACTTTTTGGAACTCCTTGCAGTTCATCAGGCCTTGGATTATTTCCTACTTTTAGTAAGAGGCCATTTGATCATGATCCATTCCAAAAAATATGACCATTGCCTTGTACATCAGTTGATAAGGGGGATCTGTTCCTGTTTGCTTTACTCTTGAACATTGGATCTCTTTTTCTGGGCCCAGTCTCAACAAGTTTGTCATTTTGCTTGTCATGTCCATAGTGCTCTGAATCTTGTAGTGGATTGATTATCTTGTCCCAACAAGATTCTACCTCTGAACTGGTTTCTTGCTCCTCCAGTTTTCCAGTGGTTATGCTCCCTGTTTGGTACTCTTCTTCTGGATGCATTTGCCATCAATTTCAATACCTAACTTCCCTTTATCTGGCCTATGGTTCTACATCCTTTAGCTTTGGTAGTGGATGCCTTCAGTCAAGATTGAACCAATTTTTACCTATATGCTTATCCTCCTATCCATCTTCTTCCTTGAGTTTTCTTCCCTATCAAAGTCACTCCAGGTCGAGTCCTTCTAATCACCCCTTTCTGGCTTGCCCAACCATGGTTTCCAACCCTGAACCTTTAATCATCCCCTCCCATACCTCTTCCACTTTCCCAATCTCTTCTACATCAGTCTTATTCTGCCATATTTCATCCTACTGTCACCACACTGTGACTTCATGCTTGGATTTTCTTTGGTCCCTTGCAAAAGGATTCTGACTCTCTATGCAGGTGGCCTTCCTTCTTTAAATGTTTCCCAGAGGAAATAGTGCATTTTCTGGAGCTGCTCTTTGCATCTTGATGTTTCACTTTCATGACCTAGTATACCCCCCCATTTTGATTTTTTTCACTGTCGCATATTTTCCTCTTCCGTCCTATCTCTCCTGATTCACCTACCCTGTCCGATTTCTCTACCTGATTGGAATCTCAGTATGGTCCTTCATGCCCTTACCCTTTGAACCTTTGGCCACTTGCTCATTGTACCACTTCTCTCTCAAAATGTATTTTTTACTCCTCTTCGCATTTGGTTGTCATAAGTCGGATATCTTCTCTATCAATGGCTCTATCACACTACCTATGTTCTCCCTTATTCAGATTGTAGTTTTTCCTCAAGATGTCTGAAGTGTATGAAGGGGAAGTCACCTTCACTTCTATTTTCCTCTCATCCGTTTCTCATTTGTGTTCCCATTCTGATCCCTATCATCACCTGCATCCAGTACGTGCTCTGATTTATTATGTTGCCTGCACTGCTTCTTTCTGTGGATCATGTTCCTGTCTTTTAATACCATGTAATAATTACTTTATGTGTGATCTTACTTTTACTGGATGGAATCGCCAGCTTATTCGTCTTGCTTATGCATCGTTATCCGTGGATTTTCTTTGCATTTTCAAAGTTTCCTCCCACCAGAGACGTCATCTCACTTTTTCCATGGCTGTCCACTTCCATTGTCCATTAGAAAAGATTGTGATGTGCAGGCTAGAATGTGGACCTTACCTCTCACATTTATAGCCTAATATCTGTATCATTTGGTTGCCTCCATCTCATCTGGTTATTGCTTGCCACCCATTGTTATTATCCATACATTATTTAGACAATGAAAGGGTATGTTCTTCCCTTTCCTGGATCCTACTCTGTGGCAAGTGGTACCTGTCCAGGTATACATAAATGTAAATTTGCACCATATGGCTGTACAGATCTATAATGCTCACTGAAGTGATGAGGTGTTTCATAAGACTGCTAGAGTTCACTTCGTGGTATCTTGCTTCATAAGTAAGGCCTAAACCAGACTGTACCAACTTGTGGACTATCATGAGTAAAGCAGTATTGGGATCACTGCCTATCCCTCCAGTCCTAGTTGAATAAGCCAGGGTTTTCATGGTCATCCATTGCACTATCTTACAGTGTTGTGTTCCTCCAGACTCCCCACTGTGTTGTCCCCCTTCATTCTTCCAGTGGAGTACGGTAGTCCTAGCCACTTACCATTTCTTAGCTGTTGGGGTGGTGGACCATAGAGGCCTCCTCCTGAGTGTGATTGTTTCCACTCAGTCGAGAGTGGGTGGAGTTATTCTGTTGGTGTAAATGGTAAGCTTTCTTCTCATACTGCAAACTGGAAGAAAAATTCCAGATGCCACTTGATTTTGGATTGGACAAATCCACCACATGCAGTTAACCCCTCCAGATGGCTTTTCCCCATCCTACTGCTGCCTGGATGTCTATTTCCAAGTGGCCTGATGTTGGATCAATGCAAGACCAGCCAGCAAAAGTCCTCACAAGTGTGGTTGATACGTTCTCTCCTCCTACCATGGACTGAAAGATAAATACCTGATGCTGCCTGGTTTTGGACTGGAGTTGACCTGCTGAATATGGTCTGACACACCCTAGCCACTCTAAATCATGTTGTGCATCCAATTACAGATTGGACATGTGTCTTTTCTGACCATTTTAGTGACACGTATCTTTACAAAAGGTAAAGAATACCTGGGAAAGATGAGGTGCACTTTCCCAAGGTGTGACCCTATACATTAGGCTTAACACTCCATGGATTCTCTTCAGGCACCTTCTGAAGAGTGCTCATCTTGATAACTTTTGCACCAGTCCCTCAACTGTTTCAATGTAAGATTCTAGCTATTATGTAAGGGGAGTTAAGATATCATATTGGAAATTGACATTTTCCTACACTGACCTCTTCTCACATTTCCCACTTCTCTTGGATCTTTTGTGCTTAATCTCGCAGTGATGATAATGCTCTACAGCATAGAGGGAGTCAGCTGCACTAGGAGAGTGTGTCACACTTTTGTTGGTGGAGAGTTGTTGCATGCTCATTTGCATGCTATATCACAGTTATAACACGAGAATTATGTGAGGTTAGGTGGGAGCATCAAGGCTACTGGCGAGCAAAAATAGTGCATATAAAAGGCAGCACAAGTCAAGGAAAGCTATTATGTGAGAGGAGGTATATATTTATTGGAAATACATTTTCAGTGTAGGAAAATGTTAGCTTTCATGATATTTTTTTATAAGCCAGAGCAGTCCCTGTGAATAATTTTTTGAGATTTTCTTATACAGCCTCTAAAAGATTTTGCTAGAGGTAGTATTATTTTAGATCTTTTCATTAGCACTGGAGAGGATTTAGTTAAAAATGTGGAAGTGCAAGGGCATTTAAGCGCTACTGATCTTAATATTATTACTTTGACTAGCATATACCCCATCAAAAATGACTGGGCAAGTACTATCACTCCCACCCTATACTATACCCTGACATCACATTTCATAGCTATCTGAAATAAATAAATTTTGCAAAATCAAGCTAGACCAACAAAGAGGCAGAAAGTGCAGTCGAGGCAGACAAGCATTGGTAAATTCCTTTGTGAGCCAATCAAAATTAAGATCATTCATGAAATGAATTCATGGCACATACATAGAATAACTATTGGTAAAAATCAGTTAGATTAACAACTTCTGATATATAGAAAAACCAGTGCATTTTGGTAATGCTACATTCCAACAATGGCTTTTATGTCATGTTGCTTAGCAACAAAAGTATAACTTAATATTGTTGTTAGTCTACCTACTGAAAGTATAAAATGAAATGTAAAGACAACAAAACTGGAAAGATACATGTTGGTTTCTTAACTTGGAGTCTCCATTGATTGAAGAGGTTTGTTTTTTTATGAAAATGTTGGTTATATAACAGAAAATAGCTTAATTCATAAATGATTTAAGTTTAAAATTGAATCGATATTTTTACTTTCATGATAAATTTTATGCACTTAGCTCTAGGCTATGTGATCCCACACTACGTCTTTACTTTAGGCTTATCATACCAAAACTTACAAAGTTTCACGATCCCCTTGCACTCCTATCATTAAAATTGTAATGGGCAGACTGTAATCGAACTATTCTATCTGGATAAATGCATTTTGGCTTTTATGACTCCTCCTATTTTGAGAAATCAAGTATGATGTGACATACACTGGCTTTTTTTTAGGTTAGATATTTGTTTGTATTGAAGCTAGCTAGAGTTTATTAGCCTTGTTCTCAATTTGAAAAAAAGCCAAGTTCCAGAAACTTGTAAGATATGGTAAGAAAGGATGACTAGGTGGCTATACAAATTGATAAAAAATATTACTAAATTTGGGGTGTTTTTTCCTTTGGCTTGATAAGTTAGCTGAAAAAGTATGTATTCATTCCAAAGCTTTGATTCCAACCAAAAGCACATTCTAAATTTTATATTAAATAGTACATTTTTTAAGAAGCCTTTTTCGATTTTATGGGATCCTGTTGTTTTGCAAGTGTTCATTGCCTATCAGACTTCTGTTTGAATTTGACGGTTAATTCAAGTTATCAGTGTATCAATAATGATCAGTAGACATTTTAATCCATTTCATACCACTTTATATTCAATGAAGAGCTGCATTTGTTTTTTTATTTTACCAGAATATTTCTGTCAGATGTTCTTACACTTATCAAAGGGTTTGTTTTTCATATTGGCACATAAAATGTAATGTATTACTTCTTACCAATGTTAACCTAAAAACTGAGAAAATGTAAGAGCCTTATGATTCAAATAACTTATTGAACTGAGTTGATTACTGCTGTTCTTTTGTATTAGTATGTAGAAGCAAAGAATGTGTTGTAATAGTAACTAACCAGTGAAAATGAGTAGTCAGACATGAAAAAATCATATTGACTCAGATCTTTAATCTGTTTTTAAAATATGTAGTTATTATTCTTAAATAATAATAAAAAAGTTTACAAAAATTATTTAAAACTTTTATTACCCATTATTCAATTTTAATTTTTTGTAATTATGTTAAAAAACCATCTAGATCCTCAATGTGCTCAGTTGATATTTATGGTACATAATGTTAGTTTTTCACAGTTTTGATTATAAACTTTAACATGTACAAAATATGCGTTATTTCTACTTTTGCATCTTTTCCACTGATTTTTTTGCAGTTTTTAGGAAGCAACTGTGTGATTGTTTTAGGTGTAGTCAAGTCAAGTTTTAATGCTTCATTTCAGCAATTAATGTTTAAGTGTTTTAATTTTTTACACTTAAGTTGAAAAGCTAAAAATAAAGACATGTCAAATAAAAAAAATGACATGCATATCTCCAAAAAAAAAGTATGTGCATTTTATGCAGACATGCTAGCTATTGGAAGCAGTACAATATTACTGAAATGCAAGCTCACCAAAAACTTTTTTAATTAATGGTAAATTTATTTACGTTTAATCTTAGCATTATTTCTCTTTCGTAATGCTTGTTTGTAAAAAAATGAGATAAGTACTGATAAGAATTTGACTGAACCATTTCGGGATTTTTATATACACAGATGTTTGTTTGTTTTCCTTAGTGGTTTAGTTCCATGTTAAACAATAAAATAAAATGAGAAATTTTATACTATGAAATGGTGATGTGGAGAATCAAAAATGGAACAACATCTGGTAATGATGAATATAAACCCAGTTTTTATCTAAAAAACATTAGCTACAAATCAATTCTCACTAAACTGCAAGTGTTGAGGCAGTCAATTAATATTTTGTCCACCTCATTCAACTTATAAAAGACAAGTATAACACTATTAAAAAATGTTGTTTTTCTGAGTGGTGATGTAAAACTTTGTGGGTGTTTGAATGTAACTGTAGTAAGAAAGGAAGAGTGTAATAGGTGAGGTTATCATTATCATTTAATCATAACTTCTCGGTAAGAAATTATCTTCTATGTATAGTGTTTTTGTACTATACATTTGATTTACTTTGGTAGTAGTTATATGTAATTTTATTTTAATTTTCACATTAACTGTAAGATTTTACTTGAAATCACAACTTATCTTGGCCACTATTTTAGTCACATTGAAAGTTTGTCTAGTAAATCATGATTTGTCATCTTAAGTTTATAATCTTTAGTTTTTCTGTTTTTATGTAAACTCTTTACTAAGGAAAATCTTTTCAGTTTATAATTCAAATGTGTGTGTTTGTGTAAATTTACAAAAACATATGCTTAACCAACAAAACACATGCTCATACATTTTAACTTTATTTATTGAGTCTAATTAAACTAATTTTGGGTTATTTCAGTGTCATTCAGCAAAGAAGTTATCTGCAAACTCTTTATCAAGTGCAATTTCTTCAGTTTATAATTCAAATACATCTGCTCATACATCACTACCTTTGTCAGCTGTACCCCACTTGTTGCCTGCTGAATCTATTTCATTGCCTAAGAGCATCACTAGTGCTGTAACAAGTACGTGCCCTTTGGTGTGTCCAGCAAGATGTAAACCAGATCACTGTCCAAGAGGTAAGTATCACCTCTTGTTTTGCCTTGCCCATTTGGCATCTAAGACTTGCAAGTATACATCCAGACAATTCCAAACTCATTTTTTCAGCAAATTGTTTAAAAAAAAGCATGGTAGGTTTTAATAAAACATTAACATATATTTCCTAAAAACATGTAAATAAGTTGTTTTTTTTCTTTATCAAAGGGGAAGCTAAAGGAAAGTTTGAATTAATATTTATTTCAATATCATTTACTTAGGAAATAATAAAAAATTTTAATTGGGAAATTAGGCTTTAAGCAAAATAAAAATTGAAAGTTCAGGATGTTGTAAAATATAAATTGGAACATCAGGATTGTTTGGTCTCTTAAGAATGACCAACCTCCAGGCCTCTTTCAACAAACAGTAAACTATTCTCGTAATACAACCCTCACCCTTCAAATATTCATCAACCTCTTTCTTAAACTCGCATAGGGTTGCAGCCTTTACTTTTATGTATGGCAGTTTGCTCCACATGTTTCTCACCTTGTTAGAGAAGTCGAACTGCATGAACTGAGAATGTGTATTTTACGATTTCTAGATTTAAGAGATCTTGTCATACTGCCATCCGAATTCAACATGAAAAATTCTAACGCTTCAATCATATATATATTTTTTTTTATAAATTTGAATGCCTCAGATTACCTTAATCCTTCTCTTGTCAAAAGAGAACAATAAAACAACTTAACATATCGTTATTAGACTAACCATCCACTCTAGAATCTTCCTAATAGCTTTACTGTTAATAATCTTCAAAAAATTTGGATGTCCATTCCAAATTAAGGGTAACCAAAGTTGCAAACAAAACATACAATTGATTCATAGTTCATAGTGTGAGGTAGTGAGATAAAAATGCAATACTGTCTAGTCTTCAAAATCAATCAAAAATTGTGATTTAGCTAATTAGTGTAGCATTGTGATTTTCAATTTCCTTTTTTTTTCTTCATACTTAGTTTCTTAAATATTAAGTAGGAATGCTACGATAAATTTCATTATTGTCAAGGACGAACACAGAATTAAGTCAGAATATAACAAATGATTACATTTCTCTCATGCCATTCATAATGTTGTATTTTCAAGGTAGGAAACTCATTGGATAACTTATCTTTCTGTCACACTGTATTTAATGTTTATAAATGTGTAGGATGTGCAGTGACATCATCGGTGTCACTTTGAAGGATGGATGATAAACTTTTTTTTCTTATTCATGTATTGGGGTAATTGTATACAATTTGATGTTGAGGGAAACTTTGATTTTTTTAAAACTTATTGTTAAGTATCTCACTAGATAAGTATTTGGCACCAGTCATAGTTGATGTGCCATTATTTTAGGTGTGTGTTGATGAGATTGATTATAGATAAAAATAGCCTTGTAATCTATTTGCACATTTCTCATTGTTCATTAGTTCTGTTTGTTTTCAAGATATGTGTGTATGCAAAAGTGAAAACTTAGTACATTTAGTTTTTTTTTTTTCATAGCTTTGTTGTTTCATGTTAGTTATTAGGTTTCTGATGTTTTTTCTTTTGACATATACTTTATTTTCTACACTTTAAAGTTGATCTCAATGCTGAACTTTTGATAGATCTTTCTGACTGAAAAGCAAGTTTTCATATGGTGGTTACTTCTGGTACAAAATTAATACTTGCTTGGTGCCAAATGTTCCCAGATCATGTTAGTTAGGTAAAATTTTAAAATGTGTGTGATTGACAAAAATATTATGCCAATTATATCTGACATACTAGATAAAACAGTGTTGTAATTCCCAACCAGTATAAAGGGGAGTGTACTCTGAACATAAATAAAATTTCATGTTGTGGAATCATGAATTTGTGATTGCAAGTACAGGATTTTTTTTGTTACTATTCTCATTTAACATGTTCATTTGGCTCAATCTGCTAAGTTGCCAAACAAACTGTTGTTTGACCAGGATTTGTATCCATGCTAGACATACAGAAGATCAATGCATTTGACAGACCAAGTCTGTGTTAAATAGCCTACCTCAGTGCTAATTATTAAAGTCATGATGACATGTATAGATTGAAAATGCATTTGTATCTTGCTTATTAGTGTAAATAATAAGCAGTTTATGCATACTGCTTTCCAACCTTGCTAAATTGCTCGAAGTATGTGTCTGTACACACATTATGAATGTATTATTATTATTACTTGCTTTAGATTATGCATTGCGCTATATCTTTACTAAAATTAAGGCGCACAGTACAGATGTCCTAATACCAACCAAGAGGCCTAGATGTAGGTCTTGGCAATATCTATAGAGCTATGTAATGCTTTGTTTAGTATCTGCTACAGCAGGAATGCAGTCTCACATTAGTGTATAGTTTTATGGATTTATACAATTCAAGCTTGGAATTTAGGCTTAGATCTAAAATAATTTGTAACATATTCACGTGTGGTCACAATTTGATATTTATACATGTGACAACTTAGCTCCAAATCTAGATCTAACTATGTCTAGATTATTTTGCTAAGCTTTAAGTTTCAGTCAGGTGGTGTTACATCCCAATTGTAAAGAGAAAAAAGAAAAGAGACCCCAAAATAAAAATAATAGAAGAGAAAGGGAAGGCCTCAAAAGTGAGGCAGTGAATACAGTAGTAGCATTGCCCATAAAAGAAGTAGTGGTATTAGATACGAAGTTGGCTGTTATAATGTTGGGTGTTTGTTGTGAATGCTTTTGTAAAGAAAATAAAACTACAAATAAATAGAGATTCACACTTCTGAGGGTACAGATGATTTTTTGTTTTTAATTTTAAACACACTGGTTATTCGATCTGTAGTTATTAGCCCAAAAAGAAATTTCGTGTATGTGAGTAATCATTGAAATGTATTGTTTGAATTGTATTTTAGTTGATTTTCCACTGTTTTTTGTTATTATTATTTTTTGGTATGGTCATTACCAGTATAAGATTTCATAACTGTCATGCATATTTCATTTTTTTTGGTAATGTATTAACTTTTTGTATTTATGGTTTACCTCTCATTATTGTTTATTCACCATGGATTCTTTGTTAATGTATACTTTTGTGATTTCACCCACCCACCCCTTTTTTTGTGAAGTACAAGTAAAGCATTGAAGATAAGTTAATTGTTTAATACTGTAATACAGATTTATAACTTACAGCTTAAAGGAAAAGGTGAATGTTAGAGGAGTAATAGCACTGTCTACACTAAATATGTGAAGTCCTTGTCCGAGCACAGAATAAAGTAGTATGGGTGCCTCAGGTCCAATTCCACAATAAATGGCTTGACCACTAGGCTACCAAAACACTATCAGTGTTTGTTTTTATACAGGGTGGCTCAAAATTATATTTCCTATTTTAAACTTTAATAATTATAGAACTAAGGGAATACAACCATGCAGTTTTCAACATTTTGTAGTCCAACTCAAATATTTGTTATTGTAATGTTGTTTTTCATTCCAGTGAGTAGAATTACCATATAAAATGGCAATCATGTAAGAAAAGGCTGAATGCATCATTTGACTTGCAGCGACCATGTCAGTGATTGTGGTGCAGCATAATTGCAGATGTCAGTATAGGAAAGTAGTATGGAGGATATTAAGAATATCATGTGCTGCACACTTATAGCAGACATTGTGGAGCTAAAGACCAAGATAATGTATGCCATCGTGATTATAGCTGCGGACATATTCAATTATCAGTTAGACCTGCTGAAAGCCACTAATGATGTACACGTAGGAGTCTACTGACACAGGGCTTGATTTTTCAAAAATTTCCAAGTTGTCTGGAAGGTGGTATTGGTTGTACAAAAATAAAATATAATACATAGACCTTCAAAATAGATACAATTATCAGAATATTGATATACAAAGACCCTAAAAAAAAGACCCATTTACAAGAATTTTGATGTTTTTATATGTTATTTATTTCCAAAAAGTACAATTAGTGTTTAGTTGGCAATTTTGCATCTTTATTCAACTGGATGTGCCTCCTCTCTGGGTCTGTAGAGTTCCTTGAAGAGCCGTCTCGCTCGTTCTGAAGACTGATGCCACAGATGAACAGCACTGGTAGGGTCGAAATCTCCCCTGCAGTCATAATGAATGGTACCCCCTCACTTACCTGCCTAGTTTCGTTATATTGGAAAAAATAAGCCCAAACCAATGTTCCACAATTTCATAAGGAAACAAGCAGGTGGTGACCTATAAAACTTTTAAAGAAAACAGCAATCTTGGCTGATCAGTGGTCAATGTTTTCATTCTAACAAGTTTGGCCTGCCACCAAGTACAGTCTATAGTAAGACTAGACTTGCAACATAACTCACACTTACTATTATACCATAATACGTGCTCAATTGCTGAGCTTCACACGTGTGTGTGTATGTGTGTATATATATAGACACACACACACACACACACACACACACACACACACACACACACACACACACACACACAC